ATATTCACCTCAGATGGCCTTCAGAACGCGATGATTGTACTGATTGATTCATGAATGCCTGATCTCACTCCACCGAATTATTACTCTATCATATATTTCCCTGGATGGTAGGTCAGAATTTGGCAATACCAGCCGTATTCTGCCTCATTTAATATACTTTCCCTCGTTTTAATGTTGACGTCACACCTTGACTTTCTTCTGATATTCATTCAGAACACCCACCAGACTAGTATATATATATATATATATATATATATATATATATATATATATATATATATTGACTCAAGCTTTGTGAGTTAAATTAAGAACTGCTGGCAGCCGTCTCTAGCTGTGCTAGAACGAAGCCCAAGTCATCATGGCCGAAGGTTTTGAACGCGCTGGCCTTGTTCAAATTGTTCATAACGTTAGCTAACACGCTCTTTCCCAGAAATTGTAACTAGGGCCTGCTCAGCATAGTTGCAGTATTAACCACAGGTGGGCTCTGTGGGTGCTGAAGAAACACAAATGTGCCGGGTCGAGCGTCTGCAATAGGGATTTGCTAGCCGCCATAGTAGATTGGTGTCATCGAATACGAGTGACAACCTATTATACAAACATATCTATATCTATATCTATCTACATTCTATCTATCTATCTATCTATCTATCTATCTATCTATCTATATATATATATATATATATATATATATGTGTGTGTGTGTGTGTGTGTGTGTGTGTGTGTGTGTGTGTGTATGTGTGTTTGTGTGTGTGGAAAGTGATTCTTTTTTTTTTCGAGCTACCATTTTTTGTTTCGTAAATGTAACACATGTTTAAGAAATTGAACATTTTACTTTTTCACTGATTGTATATCATAAGATATATTCAATTATATATATATATATATATATATATATATATATATATGTGTGTGTGTGTGTGTGTGTGTGTTATTCATGTTTTAAATAATATGTATTGTTAAATTCAGCCTTAGAATATCTCCTGTTTGTTCATTTTTTTTTTAATTTGGATTACGGAAATAACGAGTGGGTATACAAGCAAATTCCTGCAATGCGCTCAGAGATAACTGCCATTATAACAAGTTCATCGTTCTTCTTATGCAAAAGACCAGCGCAGCGGTGGGGCTCATAGGAACGTCTCACGGAAGTAAAGGTCACTGAGTAAATACATCACAAGGGGCTTACCAACCAGGAGCGGAGGTAAAGCACACTGGAAGTATGGGAGCGGATAATTAGAAAAACAAAATCATAGGGCCGAGCAGAAATATACCGTGCATATGACAGGAGTTTCAAAGGCACTGTCATTTCCTTGTCGTATTATTCAGACAACAGATAGATGCGCTGTTTCTTCCCAGAAGCAACCCGCAGGAAGGCTGTTACTCTGATCGTCTAGGATTGACATATTTTTCTCAGTGTATATATATATATATATATATATATATATATATATATATATATATATATATATATATTTGAATAAAAGACAGACCACGTTAAGATTCCATTTAATAAGTTATTTCACCATAACCCCTTTTAACAGGGTTCTGGATCATCAGACTTTACTTCTCCAAAAGCTGAAATGGAAAATGAAAAGAAATTCACACGTTTTTACGGACCTCATCAAGTATACGTAAAGTTAACAAAGTGAGGAAGTGAGGTGGAGAGAGGATATGAGTGTGTCATATGTATCATTTTAGTTTCCTATTTTAACCCCAGTGTGTCGGCTAGATGTTGCTCAAATTTAACGCGTCTCGTCTCTAGATATAGATGGCTAAGGGGTGAATGATAAGAACGACATTAAAGGAAGAAGTTACAACAACCCCAATAAATTACACGACAGGTTTCATTCAAATTTTAGACGCTTATTGGGGTTGTTGTAACTTCTTCCTTATCTGCTCTGAATTTTACATTGCTCTCTGGATATCATCCTCCTCAAATCTACCCTTACGAATTACCTAAGTTTACATAAACTAACTAACTAACTAACTAACTAACTATATATATATATATATATATATATATATATATATATATATATATATATACACCGTGTTCAAATCGTGTAACAAAATTGTCTAATTGTTAGATTAAAGTCTGAACCGGAGTAACCTAAAATGATTAACTCTATCTTACTAGAATTCTCTGAGGTTTTTTATAACATACGGGCCTCTACCATGAGCAATGAGAATGTATAATTACTCTCCAAGCTTAACAGGAGAATATTGATGAAATCTATAATATGCGAAATTGACATGTTCGGTATTCAATTAATCATAACTAAGGATCGTAAACTCATGAAGTATTGAAATAAAGTCCTTATATATATATATATATATATATATATATATATATATATATATATATATATATATTTCAGTTTTCAACTTATTCAAAATGATCTTCGCCCTCTCTAACCTTCTAACATTCTGTCCGGTAATAAGAAGGTGCCTCACATGATTGAAATACACATTTCATTTTCAAGTTTGTTTTTCATTGCTCTTTGGACTGTCAGAGTTGATATTCCTCCCTCACGTGCTAAACGTATTGTGGATTGTGTTGGATCTGTTCTAATAAGATCTCTTTAACTTTAAGCTGAGATGATGATCTATCTTACTGTTGTGACGTCCTGATCCAGTTGTTGTCTTTACATTTCCCTCTTTTTTAAATTATTCACCGTTCTTTTGATGGTTATTGAGTGGTTCTTTAAGATGGAAGCCAGAGTAGTAATGTTGGTGCCGTTGCTGAAGGCCTAAATGATTTTTTCCTCTCACCATTACTCATTTGGGAAAACGGTAGTTGTGACATAAAACAATTTTAACCTGTTCTCTTTTTAGCTGATTATCAAAAAAGGTGTTTCAGTGATTATTTCGTCAACATGGCTAAATGCCTTATCTGAAAACCTTGAAAAAGAAACTCAATTAGTTTATGTTTTACTTTTTTTTTTTTTTTTTAGATATTAAACATTCAGACAATTATGCTGTTACAATGATTTGGACAATTTTGATGTTACATTCGATATATATATATATATATATATATATATATATATATATATATATATATATATATATATATATATATATGTATGTATATGAATGTGTGTGTGTGTGCACATGTTTAGGAATTTGTGCTTAAATTGTACAGTGTCCATGAAGTCAATATATTACGTATATTTGCTTCTAATTATACTGCATATATATTTTTAAGGCATTGAAACCATCCATCGCTCGTTGTGCTATTTCGGTGGAAACCATGAAAAGTTGGTCTCATTATAGATTAATTGAAATGACTCCTGTAGTTACCAGTGGAAAATACTTGAGATATCAAGTACTTTGTTTAAAGGCGAAAAAAATTACTATTTCGCTTGTATATTCTTACTGAATTTTACGAATGTTTTTTTTTATATATTCACCTGAATTCTGCCGTTGTGTTTTTAATAACAAGTAATGACAATTTCTAACGAGATACTCGGAGGTTATCTTTGAATATAAACTCGTATTTCATAGTGCAAAACTTGTATAAGCATTGTGTATATATTGATTCATTTTGAAGATATATATATAATTACTTCGATCTTTATCGCTTCGTTGACATCACAATGATTAAATTAAAAATGTAAGTAGCTTGTTCGTTTTAAAATAATACATTTACTAGACAATATAACCAGTTTAAATACATGAGTAATTAAAATAGCTTCAAGGACTGGTTTATACGCTTTTCTTTTTAACCAGGGTTTGTTACCAAAACAAAAAAGAAAAAAGATAACCATTTGAGTTTCATTCCAATGGTGTCTATGTTCGTTTGCGTGTGAAAATGTTTATTTTAATTTATTGATATAACTAACAAAGGAATATACAAATTAAAAAAGTAATGTTAAATATAATTTTCTGTACTACCGAATAATTTATTGAAATCTCTTTAAAAGTCTACATTGTTTTAATTTATTAGGATTTATTGTGTCTTTTGTTGGTTTCAAATTTATAATTGCATTTTTGTGCCCGGGTTATGGGTTGTCCAGACTGAGTCGGGGTGGGACGTCTTATTCAAATGCTTTATTTTAAAGGAAGATTTATTGCCTGTGTATGTATGTGTGCTTGTTACTGTGTATACATCAAATGGTACAATCTCATGTATAGCCCTTAAGCACAATACATACATAAGCAGATACTCTGCATAGGCGCATGCAAGCTAACACGCAGAACGTATGTGACGAACAGAGAATCAGAAAAGTCACACGCAGCCAGTATCTAACGAATAGAGAATCAGAAAAATCACACACAGTCTGTGACGCACTGATAATCAGCAAAGTCACACGCAGAGAGTATGCAACGAATAGAGAATCAGAAAAATAACACACAGTCTGTGACGAACAGAGAATCAGCAAAGTCACACGCAGTCAGTATGTAACGAATAGAGAATCAGAAAAATCGCACACAGTCTGTGACGAACTGATAATCAGCAAAGTCACACGCAGACAGTATGGGACGGACAGAGAATCAGCAAATTCCACACACAGACATAATGTGACGGACAGAGAATCAGCAAATTCTCATGTGACGAACCAGCAAAGTAACATACTGACAATGTGTGGCGGACAGACTATCAGCTCAACAGATTTACTTCCATTAGTGTGATTATGGTCGAACATATCTGTGCTGCATCCAGATGGACACTAAGAACTTTTGGAAAATATTTTCATCATAGTGCAATATGTAATTGTTAACGTTAAAATCAAACACAGACCGTGTGAGCATAACGTTGAACTGCAATCAACGTTGCTAATAGGACATTAGTTATTGGTTGAGAAGCCGAAAATAAAATCCAGGAAGTCGTTTACCCGACACATACGCCAGTAATGGTTCCAGTTATTGAGCAAGGTCGTTGCTCGGAGTTATTTTGTGACATTCATGACGTTGGAATCTTCAACGACGTCCATCGTTAGATATTGCTTGAATGGACCATATACGTTGATTACTCAATCGCGCTTAATTAATAGGCATTATCATATCGGTTTATCGATCTGTGAATCGCTTGGAACGAAAATAAGAAAGAGAACCAGAAAGAAATAAAAGAAAGAGGCAGAGAAGTAATGTGTAGGGGTGGATGTGGAAATGGACGGTTGAATGATCAAAGAGAAAGAAGAAGAATTGAGATTGAAACAAGCGAAAAAATTATCGTGTAAAAAGAAGAGGTTAAAAGGTGGGAAATAAATGAACGCTAGAAAAAAAAAAGAAATTGATCAATATATTTATGGAAAAAAATCCGATAAAATATCTAAAGGAAGAGGTAAACATTGAGTGAAAATATAAAATAATAAAAGTGATTAGTGTTCAAGATTATGAGGATGGTAGGCTTGGAGAATTTGACACTAAAAGACATATGGAAGGCAGAAATTGGCAGGAGAAAACACCAGGGCACATTGAAAAGATTGTGTGAATAGATTGTGGAACGAGGGTTGAGGCTAAGGAGTACACTGATACGAGTTTGCTGAGACATATGGTAGCCAATGTCCCGAGGCAGACGACACATAGAAGTAAAATTGTTTATGAAGAGTTGAAAAACTGTTTAAATAAATAAAGGATAATTAGTAGAAACGAAGAGAAAGAAAAAAATGCATTATTTAAATGGAACACTATTGAAGGAATTTGTAGCGCTTGAAAAGAATTGAAAAAATAACAAAAGGATAAAGAAAGGTGAGTAGGAACAATGTGGTGTGTAAAAAAACGGGAATACGAAAGAAAATATGCTATCCAATGGAAGGAAAGAAAGAAAAAAAGAAAGAAAGATAGAAAAAAGAAAGAAAGAACGAAATAAAGAATAAAAAGTAAGGAATAAACGAAAGAAAGAATAAAAAACAGAAAGATAGAAAGAATAAAAGACACCAAGAGAGAAAGATTAAAAGAAAGAACGAATAAAACAAAGAAAGAAGGATTAAAAGCAGAAAGACAGAAAGAAAGAAAAAGAATAAAAGAAAGAAAGAAAGAATAAAAAAACAGAAGAAATTAAGTATAAAATAGAAAGAGTAAAACGAAAGAATAAAATACAGAATAGGACAGAGAGAAAAAAGAATAAATGGCAGAATTAAAGAAAGAAAGAAAGAAAGAAAGAAAAGAAAGAAAGAAAGAAAGAAAGAAAGAATGAATGAATGAATGAACAAAAGGGAGCGGTCAAAAATAAGAAAACAGAAAGAACAAGTAAGAAAATGTGCAGGAACGAGTTAAATTTAAAATAAATAAAAAATGCACAAAATACACTGAAGGAAAAAGAAAAGAACGAAAGAAAGAAAAAAAGAAAGATAAAAAGAAATATAGAAAAAAAAAGAAAGAAAGAAAGAAAAAAAAGAAAGGGAACAAGTGAACAGAAAGAACAAATAAGAAAATGTGCAGGAAATAAAATTAAACTAAAAAAGAAAAAAAAAACGAAGACAAAATACAAAGAAAGAATAAGGGAACAAAAACAAAAACAAAATCAGGAAGACAGCAAGTAAAAAGTAAACAATAACGAAAGAAAGGAGAAAGAAAAAAAGAAAACATTTGTTTAATGATTGAATGATTGATGTAATATCGTAAAATATGAGTGGGTCAATTTCAAAGCCAATAGACATTAAAGGCTTTAGAAGAAAAATAAAAATACAGTTATGTCTTACGTCCTGACCTGAAAACACTAACTTAGCAAACGAAGGCGAAAAGCGTTGTCATTAAAAAAAAAGAAGCTTTTCCACTTTGTCGCATTTCTCCACGTTTGTTCAGATACAATTCTGCATCCTACTTGCAGACATAGTAATATATGTATAAAAACAAAATAAAAAGCAATGAAGGGAGTGAATCAAGTAATACGAATCGGCAAATGAGGAATTGTTTGAATGGAAGAAACATGATCGCCAGAGATAAAAGAGAAAATTATGGACCAACGGAGTTGTTAGATGAATGGACATTTTGAATTGATTGCTTAATTTAATGAATCGATCACTTAATGAAAGAAAAAAAAAACGGGAGGGTGGGCAGAAAGAAAGAAGGAAACGAAATCCATCAGTGCTGGTTGTGTGGAACTGTAACAACGATGAAATCAAGGACAAAAGGGAACAGCTGTTATGTAAAAACCATGTTTCGTCTTCAAGGAGAAAGAAAAAGTTGAAATTAATTGTATGACTGAATAAACAGGGATAAATAGAAACTGTTAAAAAATGCGTAAATGTCGACGAGAAAATCGAAGGCTTTAAAGGAATGGAAATGGAATTGGAAACTGGCTATATAATGAAGTAAAAAGGTTCAGATTAAAAAGAATCGAAGAAATGAGACTGAACAGATTGTTAGCAAGATAAGAAAGTGATGCTTATTCTACGATGTGCTTGTCTTTTCAGTGCATAGCTCTCCATGCCTTCCTATCGTTCGTACTTCCTTTCTTTTATTCTTTCATGTTTTTGTCTTTTTATTATTATTATTATTATTATTATTATTATTATTATTTCATTCCTTCTTTCATTCTTTCTCACTGTCTTTTTCTTTCTTTTATTCATTCCTTCTTTCTTCCATTCATTCATTTTTTTTCTCTTATTCATTCCTTCTTTCTTTTATACATTCTTTCACACTTTCTTTCTTTCTTTCCTCCTTTGTGTATTTTACTCTTTCATTTTCCTCTCTGGTCATCCAAACCTCCGTATATTTGGTATTCTTTCTTTTATTCTATTATTTAATTGTCTTTTATATTTTCTTTCTTTCTTTCTTTCTTCCTTTCTTTTATTCAATCATTTTGTGTCATTTATTCATTCTTTCTGTCCTTTATTCTTTCTTTCTGTCTTTTATTCTTTCTTTCTTTTGTTCTTTTTTTCTTCTTTTTTTCGTTTATTCATTCTTTCTGTCTGTCTTTCTTTCTTCCTTTCATTAATTCATTCTTTCTTTCCGTCTCTCTGTATTTTACGCTTTCTTTTTTATCATCCTTTAACTATCACTACCATTCTCTCTTCCATCATCCACTTTGACTAGCAACTTAGATAGGACACTACGTTTCTCTCTGTCCTCTTAGTGTTCAGTATGTTCTGTGAATATCATATTTTTCAATCCATATTTCCTCATTATATCTCACAGATATTTCAACGATATTTTTTCTTAATCCTAAGCACAACTATACTTTTTCTTTACGTTGTCTTTAAAACTTCCTAATTATTCACATTTTCCGTCTATGGCATTCTCAGTATCCTTCTGATTAAATACATGTCTGTTGCTTCAAGTCTCTTCTTAATCTGTGGGGATAGTTCCACGTTAAAACGATTGATATAACATAACAGAACACTATCTTTTCTTTGTGTCCAATGGTATTTTCTTTTTTCTTATTACCATCATTCACTTTTAGATGGTCCATTAAATAGGCTGATATATTAAATTAGAATGCTGAATAAAAGGTGGAACATAATTGCATTACAAAGCTAGCCGTATGTTTTTAAATTAACGAATGTTATTGATAGAATGGAACTAATAACATATAAAAAAGCTTAAGTCATGGAGTGTAAAAAACAATGAATAAAAAATAATAGAAAAGCCTTAAGTAGTATGAAAATGAAAGAGCCAAGAGATTAGAAAGCTGAATTAGAAAGGTCTTCGGGAAGAAATATTTTAATAATTTTACTCAGATGACTAATATGTAAGAGAAATGAACAAAGGATAGATAGATAGATAGATAGATAGATAGATAGATAGATAGATATATGGGTTCAATTATTGAATATGGATCGAAAACTGACAGAATTATAAGACTAAGAACAAATAGGAAACGTTTATCAATCTAGCATATTTCTCTTTTATTAAAATTTCATCAGAGAATGAGATATGGAGAAAAAGGAAGAAGGAAACCCGTTATTTTTATTTTCCTGTTGTTAGATTTTCAATTTTTTAATCTTCTTTCATATAATCATATATTACATAGATAGACAGAGAGCGATAGCTAGCTAGCTACATAGATAGATACGAATATGCTTAGTTCGGTGAATAAATAGATGTTTATGAACAATCAGAGATATATAAATATGAACTAGTTTAGATAGATAAATAGATAGATAGATAGATAGATAGAGAGAGAGAGAGAGAGAGAGAGAGAGAGAGAGAGAGAGAGAAATGTTGGATGAAACTGAACGGATAAATTGTTACCAAAAAGATAAAAACGATGCGAAATTAAATCGAGAGAAAAAAAAAACGGGCTGGCAAAAAAAAGGCAAATATGGAAGAATAAAAGTGTAAAAAAAAAAACAAAATAGAATTTAAGAAACCAAGAAAATAAACAAAGAATTAATTGTAAGGATAAATTAAAAGTAGTAGGCACAAGGAAATAAGGAAGACAGGAAAGATATTCGGCGTGTTAGAGAATGAATTAATGAATATTAGTCGGGTGTAAGAAATGAGGATGTCCTATTTATGCTACGATTTCAAAGAAAGAAAGAAAGAAAGAAAGAAAGAAAGAAAGAAAGAAAGAAAGAAAAAGAAATGAACGTAAATAAAGGAAGAACTTAGACAAAGATAGTAAATAATAACGTAACAAAGAATTAAAGAAGGAAAGACAGAATGAAATTATCTAAGAAAGAAAAAAAAATGTGAGCAAAGGAAGGCATAATTGAAGAAAGAAAAAGAAAAACTAACAAGAAAAGGAAGTAGAAATGAACGATGAAAGAAAGACATATAAACTAAGAAATAACAAATGAAATAGATAAAGTAAAAAAGAATGGAGGAAATAGAAATAAGAAAATAGAAATTAAGGATAAAAGAAAAAAAAAACACTGGAAGGAATGATTAAACAGGTAAAGAAAAAGACAGGTGTGATTAAAAATATGAAACAAGGAATAGATTAAGAGACAAACAATAACTTAAGATAGAAAGAAAGATATCAAAAAGGAAAAAAAAATGAAGTGTTTACAAATGAGAAATTACCAAAGAAAGAAAAGGAAAAATATTTCCCAAAGAAAGGAAGAAATTTAAAAAAAAAATGAAAAGGAAAAACTTTTTCACCAAGAAAGGAAGATATTAAAAAAAAAAAAAAAAAAAAAAATTTCACAAAGAAAGGAGGAAATTAACAAAAAAAAAAAAGAGAGGAGAAACATTTTCATCAAGAAGGATGAATTTAAGAAAAAAAGAAAAGAAAAAACATTTTCAACATGAAAGGAAGAAATTAAGATAAATAGAAAAGAAAGAAATATTTTCATCAAGAAAGAAAGAATTTATGAAAAAAAGCAATGGCAAAATATTTTCACCATGAAAGGAAGACATTAAAAAAGGAAAAGGGAAACATTTTCACGAAGAAAGGAAGAAATGAAAAATAAGAAAAGAAAAACAAATTTTCACGAAGAAATGAAGAAATTAAAGATAAGAAAAGGAAAAAAAACATTTTCATCAAGAAAGGAAGAATTTAAGAAAAAAAGTAAAGGAAAAAGCATTTTCACCATGAAAGGAAAAATTAACAAAGACAAAAAGGAAAGGAAAGACATTTTTACCAAGAAAGGAAGAAATTTAAATAAAAGAAAAGGAACATCATTTTCACCAAGAAAGGAAAAAAAAAAAGAAAATATAGCAAATACAAAAAAAAGATTAGATTACCAAAATTTATGAAAGCATTTCCATGTTCCGAAAAAATATAGGAATCAAGAAATATACTTGGATTGAAAAGATAAAAAGAAAAAGAAAATGGAAAAATAAAACAGCGGGAAACAAACCACACCAAAAAAAAATACAATTAAGAAAAAAACGCGAAAAAATGCTCATTCACCATTAGAAAGAAATTGGTAAAATCACATCGATTTATTAATTATCTCATTCATTGATCGAGAACGGCAACCATGTTTTGCCGACGCCAAGTGGAGTACAAAACGAATATTATGATACCCAAATGCAATCATTACCATTGCTGTCTTGCAATTGTACGAACTAAGAAAGAGCTCCGAGCGTTTACCAATGTGTTCTCTATGCGCATAAATATTCTAGTTCGTTTATGGTAATGAAACCCATTTTGTTGGCATGCAGACCCAGAACGCCTATTTCTGTCAGTTGTCGATGGCATATTTTATTCTTTTCCTGTTTGCATAATCTAAAAATTCAGATACATGCTCTCAAAAGTCAGTCAATCACTCAAAATTCAACCTGCTGCTATGTTTTATCGCCTACGCGAGAGCATTTGATGACGGGCAGCATAAATTGACTGAAGTCGAGATGCTAGGTCATAACCGATTTAATTGCGTATACTTCTTTGGCTTTTGTCGAGAATCTCATAATACATAACGGAAGCACGAAATCAGCTATGGCAGCAATATTCAACGCATTTCCCAATATAGTGAGATCGCTATTAACGAAAAATCGCTTGAGAAATCCCAACGAGCAATGGTATCATCACCATCATCGTCATTTATTGTAACTTTTACCTCTTGGCAACGTATGACGATACATATTCGCACTTACCGGATTCGAAGCGTCCAAGATGTTTTGCTTGTCTGGCTGATGTTTTATGATGTATATGTGTATAAACCCAAGCTAGACAGTTCGTCATTTCGTCAGCTACATCCTTTCCTCTCGTAAGTTTGGTCCAAGAAAAGTACATTCTCCGACATTTATTTATTTTATGCTGCTTAGCACGATTTGTCTAGTGGCGGTCTGCATACTGATTGGTGGAGCTGGGAACTCTGATTGAGAACGAGGCCAACGGCGATGATTGGTGCGTTGGCCGTGTTTTTGGCCAATAAAACAGGTCTGGGACATTGGCTGGGCATGCAGCTGGGACCGTGGTGACGTGCACTGTTATAGAGTTTCGTATTGTTTATTTTTCTCTGGAAGCTGGACGCTAGCTTTGAACCTACCGCTAGAGTGAGCAGTGTAATTAGCGGTGTCTACCGAAACGTAGGAGGAACACACTGAACGCCAACACAACGTTTGAGTTTTTAATCTTCTTCCTTCCGCTATCCATGATGTACCTTGCTAGTAGTTTCCCACCCTATACCTGCTTCCAACAAGTCAGTTTTACCTCTTGGCAACGTTTGAATCTTTTTACACATTCAACAGCAGCACTCCTAAAAACGAAGTTTTCAAAAAAAAACCCGATCATTATTATAATGTTATATACCATTTATTGAACTTCTGTAAATGGAGTAATATAAATAAAAAAAAATGTGTGTATTAATATTAACTTTAGAATATAGAAAGAAATTTAAAATCAGGAACGTAAAAGCCTCCAACGTAAATAAAACTTTAAAACCATTACCATTCACCCAGAAAGTATGGGAACACGAGGCGGAAAAGTATGAGTCAAAAAGCCGAAAAATTGTTAAAGGTTTGTACTCACTAATCAGTCGTAATTGGTCAAGTGAGAAAAACCTTGCTCAACATAACACCACGTAGAAATGCCAACTGTGGATTACAATATGATACATAAAATATGCTTCTTTATTTGCATTTCAGGCTATATTTATTTCTAACAAATTAATTTTGTTTGTTCGCATGATTGCCTTATGCAATGGCCTTGTGTCGGATTATGCTAACTGAAAAAGCTAACTTTCCCACAAGACCAGTGATCGGACATTTCATGATCAGAATTTCACGTTTTCGATGCTTACTGGATCTAGTTGAGCGGAGGTGCAGTTGATATCAGTTTGGAAAGAAATATTGGTGGTTCGTTTTCTAGCTTATTTAATTATATCATTAATCATTTACAAGAACAAATCATATTACGGTTTGAAAAAAACAAAACTAATATTTACATTAATTTCTGGTATTTAAAATTCCAATTCTTCTTTTTCCGAATTTTTATATAAGCTATGTTTCCTTTCTTACACACACATATACACACAACACACACACACACACACACACACATATATATATATATATATATATATATATATATATATATATATATATATATATATATATATATATATATGTACTTGTGGAGATATTAGTTATTATATAGAAATAAATTGTTGCTGCCGACACTGGAGTTTGAACACTGATCAACGAGAGAGCAAACACAGGCGATCCCATTTTGAATAAGTAAATCACGTGATGGTAAAGGAAATGTATATATGGACATTAGCATGGCATCTAATTAATCACTGTTTCTCCACTAACCTCTATTACTATACGGATCGTTATTCTCTATAATCTTCACCCGACTATTTCTCTATAATGATCACTATACGGATTACTATCCTTATCACTATCCGGTTGTTACTATTCGAGCGAGTATTATCGAGCAAGTACTATTAGTGCGAGTGTTATTGGAAGACGTCTGTTACCAGCATTGTTCAACGGCGTTACTATAGTTGTATCTGCGATTACAAAGTCTTTACTACAACAAGCATTACGAAAGTGACAACGAGTATTCTTTGACATTACAAATATATCAACCATTGTTCGTTGACATCTCAAAATTAGTTTAGGAACTCTAAGAAACAATTTCTTCTGCCTGCCTCTAGCCACTAGTCATTTGACAGGGTAGACGGGTCTAAATTGACCAGACAAGGAGTAGAAATATTCTGAATTACAAACCGTGTGTTGCTTTTTCGTGAAGCATGCAATCCAGCTATTATTTTAAAAAAAAAATGATGTTGGTTATTAACATTGGCGTGGGGTGATGGTATCTATGATTTTAACTCAGGTTGAATAAAAACCAAATTTAGTCTCCAAGAGAGAATGTTTATGGTTATATCTGGTAGAAAATGTTTGGCCAATTACGTTCACTTCAGTTAAGATTAAGCAATCACATGAAGCCTTCCGTGACAAGAATATTCGGAATATGAATATCACTGCGAAGATTAGTCACCAGAAAAATGTATTATACGTAATATTCATCATCTGCTTATATATTTTACTTTATCTGAATAGATTAATAACAAGTAATCAGCAAGACATTATGTAAAATTATTCATCATTCGAAATATAAGAATAAGAGAATTACTTTCATATTAATTGATTTATTTATATTTTACGGTATTTCATAATAATTTATTATTATTTTTTTTACGATATTTACATTCTTTAGACTGTTGATCTCATCTTTATTCCCATTTTCATGACGTTTCGGCTGTTGTACGTTCCGGCCTTCTTCAGGAGATATACATTGAAATTTCGAACTGAGCCCTTCATTTAGTCCAATGGAGTAGATTGTTCTTGTTCCACGTGCTATGCTTTTTTCTTTCTTTCTTTCTTTCTTTCTTTCTTTCTTTCTTTCTTTCTTTTTCTTTTTTTTTTTTTTTTGGATATCTCTGTTTCAGTTATTTCCCTTTCGTAAGTCAACTCTTTAAATTAGTGGTCTCTGCTGTGACCAGATATTCAACTTATAACATTTTTAGGCAAATCAGAGGATTACTTCAAACAACGCTTTTTTCATTGATTGTTTTTTTCTTCTTTATTTTTTTTCAAAAGGTGGTAAGGGACACATGAGTTCGAACCTGTACTACTAGAATACTCAATGTTACTTACGTCCTCATATCCTCTGTATTTTAAGTACAATAGGAAGTTATTATGTAGTCATTTGTTTCCAAGTTATTAATTCTGCCTTTTTAAAGCATCCACTTGGGAAACCAGATTCCACGTGGGTGATTTCCTGAACAATCTTACATCTTTCAAGTTAATGTTCAGCCATTATATGTCCGTCTTTTCGTCAGAATCTTCACTTCCTAGGATCTCCGGTTTTTTTTAGTCAGATCATATAACACATTTACCATCACAAATTTAAATATCTTTCTTGAGAGGCTCTTGTGGTTTCAGTTAAGTTGATTTTATAGGAAAAATAGAGCCAAAAAAAGCAAATTATTGAATCGACATTTTAATGTTGTATTAAGAAATATACAAGCGATAATATATACCTGAGGAACATATAATTTCAAGTTAAATATAGATATAAATCTCTAAGTTTCATAAACAAAAACTTGAAACCAAAGTGTGCCGAAGTCATTTGGTGATATCTTAGTATCTAAAATTACGCGTTGTTTAGGAGACTTGGTGCTGCAGACGGTAACTTCCGAGATTAAAAATAGTTACTGAAAATACCAACCAATTAGCAGTGTTGTTTTCTCTTCCTTTGTAAACGTTTATTCTTTAAGTATTATTTGATCTTGTTACTTTGGGCACTCACACACATGGAGACGTTCACACTCCGACAAAGCTGTATTTTTGGTAGTATCCCCTCTTCAATACACGTTTCATTAAAAATAACTGACATCTCTATTTTCATTGTATATGTTCAGACGAGCACCATTCTTTATTCTTATCAATTCAAATAT